TTATTTTGTACATCAAGAAGAGGGGCTAGGGAAGGGTAAGTGGAAGGAGGTGAGGGAGGAATGGGGTATGCGCCCCTGATGGGGAGGACTGGGCTTGCTCTGCGGGCTTTTGGGGTGGAAGCTCTCCTGCAGCCCCCCAATTGCCCCCTCTCCCCAGATGGCAGCCTGTGGCAAGTGCAGCCGGTCTGATGGCCGAGTGCTGTGATGTGCCCAGTGTGGGTACTCCGGGCAATCCAAGCCAGGACTGCTTTGCAAGCGGGGCACCCCTGAGAACTGTCTGTCTGGGGTGGGGGTCGGGACCCTTTAAGCACAGCCCTCGGCTAGCCTGAGACAGCATCTCCACGCTCTAAGTCCTCCTCAGATGCCCTGCCGGCACTGCTTCCGGCCATCCTTAAGCCCGGTTCAGGGTCCACTTAATGTGGACATGCTAGTTCGAATTAGCAAAACGCTAATTCGAACTAGTTTTTTAGTCTGGATCCGTTAGTTCGAATTAGCTTAGTTCGAATTAACTAATTCAAACTAAGTTAGTTCGAATTAACGTTGTAGTGTAGACGTACCCTACTTGCTTAAGTCTCTCTGGAGTGTCCTGGTTTGCCTTGGATCTAAAAACCAAACCATATGACGATGCCGCTGGAGGATAAAAAGCACTGGAGGGAAGGGGAGGTGAGAGGAGCTTGGAACTAGTGGATTCACTGCACCCGCTAATTTTCCCCCATGGATTCGCCATCTAAGAAGCACTTGTGACTGCATTTGTGTTTTTTCCAATCCTTGTATGATAGTTGTATGAGTAGAAAGGCTAGAAAGTTGAATCCAGTGTTAATAACTGCAAGTGACAAAATGAAACAATGCAGATATTCTTCTTTCTATTGTAAATTAATTTTCCAAGTCCTGCAAGGATATTGGCCTGTGCAGATCCCAGCATTTGCGTGGAATCTCATTAAGTCCATGAAAGCATGTCAATCACATGGCTGGATCAGGGACACAGTGACAACTACTTTACTAGTAAGGTTTGATAAAGCTCATCAGGAATTCTCAAACTTTTTCATAGCATGGACCACATATCAGCATGTTTTGCAGACCACCTTCCCTCACACTCACAGTCACAAGCATGACCTCCACTTACCTCTATCATCATGTGTTCCCTATATCAAATACAGCAATTTTTAAATGGAAAAGTAAGATTTTGCTCCTATTTAATATATTACAATGAACTTAGGCCTGTGTTATGCAGGAAAATAGAATAGATGGTAAAAAATGGTTCCTTATAGCTCCCACCCTCCAAATCTATGACTATCAGTAGGAAACACATTCATCGTTTCCAAGGCCAGAGGGGACAATTGTGATAATCTAGTTTGACCTCATATGTAATACAGGCTATAGAACTTTTCCAAAATAATTCCTAGAACAGATCTTTTAGAAAAAAGCATCCAATTTTGATTTAAAAATTGCCTGTGATAGAAAATCCACCATAGCCCTTGGCAATTTTTTTCCAATGGTTACTTATTCTCACTGTTAAATGTATACCATATTTCTCTATCTGAATTTGTTTAGTTTCATCTTCCAGCCATTGGACCATTTTCTATATTTCTCTGCTAGACTGAAGGACCCATTATCAAATATTTGTTCCCCATGTTAGTATTTATAGACCGTAATTAAATCACCTCTTATACCTCTTTATTTAAAGATAAATAAACTGAGCACTTTGATATTATCACTGTAAGGCATGTTTTCAAATCATTTAATTTCTAGTTGCTTTTCTCTGAATCCTAAGTTATCAAAAATTCCTAACTGTCAGGGTGGTCAAATATTGGAATAAATTGCTAAGGGAGGTGGTGGAATCTCCCTCTCTGGAGATATTTAAGAACAGGTTAGATAGACATCTGTCAGGGATGGTGTAGACGGAGCTTGGTCCTGCCTTGAGGGCGGGGGGCTGGACTTGATGACCTCTCGAGGTCCCTTCCAGTCCTATGATTCTATGAACATCTCTCTTGAAATCTGCACACCAGAACTGGACAAAGTCTTCCAGCAGCAGTCACACCAGTGCCAAATACAGAGTAAAATAACCTCTCTGCTGCTACTTGAGATTATCCTGAGATATGGGACTTTGTTTAAAGCCTTACTAAAAATCAATATACAGGCAAACCCCGAGTTACGCGGATCCGACTTATGTTGGATCCGCACTTATGAACGGGGCTTTCTCGCCCCGGAGCTCGCAGGCGGTGGGATCGCCCAGAGCGCAGCGGTCCCGCCACCTCGACCTCCGGGGTGAGAAAAGCTGCTCCGGGTGCCCTTGGTCTGCTGGGGACCGTCTCCAGCAGACCAGGGACACCTGGAGCAAAGCCGGGGAGGCGGAGGGGGCCCGCGGCCCTGCGGCTTTGCCGTGGGCAAA